ATTTGATACTTGCTGCTTGGCTCTTTTTGCAAATCACTGGAAATGGATAGGTACTTAACTTTACAGTGCTGTATTCTTCTGAAATACCCCTCCCAAATATTCTTATAAATTTTTTAAGTTGTTTACTTTAAAGCAATGCATTTCAAATATTTCTAACATCTAGAATGAAGAAACTGAATGCTTCCCTCTCTCAGTAAAATTCCAGGAACGAGATAAAAGTAAAACAGCTACAAGTCAACACAGGGGAGGAGGAATTATGGCATGGATTTCTCCTTTCTGCTAATTTTGGTGCCTTTTAATATTCATTTCCCTTTCTGTCTTGTGCAGATTATGAAAGCTTTAGATTTTGATTTTGCTCAGCACTTGAGAACTTCAGTGAATATAAGCCAAAATGCCTCAAGTCAGGGATGTAATTTGGAAGTGGTCTCTCAGCCAAAGTATATCTTAAAAGGCTGTGCTCTTATTGACTTTCTTAAGTATCTATTTTGAAAATACTTTAATCCTAACAGTGCATTCATGAGTGTGGGTACATTAAAATCCTCAACCTACTCATAATTTTGGTTCAAAAACACCAAATCAATGTTTTAATCCATTCAGTAGCACAGATTTTCAAATTTGTTGTTCTTTAGGTTGCACAAATACTACATGAGCCCTCAGTACAAATTTGTCAAACAGCTAAGTCAGCTGATGGGAGGTCAAGTTGTGTTGGCTGCAAACAGCAAGCAGGGACTTTGGTGATGGTAACAGCACAAGGCACCTAGCAACTCTATTAGGGCTGATTCTAAACAAGAAGTTAGAGATAATGTTCTTTCAGTACTTCTGATACCTAAAGTAATAGTAGTAATAAGAAGAATAAGACTTTCTTTGTAAACAGCTGCAGATTCCTGATTTGCTGAAAATTATGAAGTTACTTTGAAAGCTTCTAGGATTGGTGTCCTCTCATGTAACTTGAAAAACTAATCCCAGTCCAGTGTGTATCAGCCCTGCTTCAGCTCTAAACCTCTTCTAAGGAAAAAGAATCAGGTCATTTTCTGCCATTGTGTACAGTAGTGGTATCATGTCAGATCAGTAGCTTTGTGATAGATACCAGTCACCTTCCTGATGACATCTGTAGCTAATGCAGAATTTGACTATTGCAAAGTTTACTTCTGTGGTGTGTTTAGCTCTTGCTTAGCAAGAAATTAGTCCTGGAGCTTTCAAAAGAAGTCTTCAATATAAGAAAGAAGCAACAAGCATGAGAGGCAAGAACGTGATGTATAAAAAAAGAAATGTCTGTTTTATTTTTTTTTCTTTTGCTATTTATATATTTACCTCATTAGGAAAAGTGGATCCACAAAAATGATCTGATATTGTCTCCTTTAGTAAAATATTGGACACTTGCAAACCACAGATTAGTAAGAGCATTAAAGGACTTTACAGGTTCAGAATAACTTAGGGCATTTTTAAATAAGCAAACAGAAAAGGCAATTTGATTGATCAGGAAGTGGTTAAGAACAGAGATTTCCTGGAAACTAAATTGCAGTATTCATCTTAAAGACATTTGAGGAGATCTCCTGTACTTTGATGGATTTTAATTATGCACCTGGCTATAGGGAACATACAGGCGCAAGCACCACAAGAAGTCTCTAGCCTAATTGCCTGCACTTCTTACTTTTGTGAATGAATAGCTCTTACATTGCCATTACTGTTTCTAGGTTCCTTTTCAAAAGCTATGTAATTATTGAAAAGTATAATACAAATATGGTAAGAGGTTTTCTGCATTATAATAGAACTCCGTAAAGGCTTGTGCTATATCATCTGTTTCACGTCTATATAGAAGAAACTTTTAACTTAGAAATACTTTTTACTGTATTCTTTTTCTCATTTTTTTCTTGTGCCTCCCCACAAAGAAATTTAGTCACATTTGATCGCTTTCTTTGACCCAACTTTTTTTTTCACTTGTTACCTGTCACAGCTGCAGCCTTCTATTCCATTTACTATGAAAAGTAATAATTTAAACCATATACTAGAGCCTTTTAAACTGAATTTTCAGACTTATCAAGGGAATGTGACTGTCACAGGGGAAAACTACTTAATATAGCTTAAGCCAAATCAGGATCGAAGCAATTCATTGATTTATTGACAGTATAAAATTAACCAGTGGACTAAATTCAAAATCTTTATCAGTAGTGCAAAAGATAAACCTGAACACAAGACTCTTAACAAAATGTTGAGGAACACCAACAAATTTCCAAACATGGTTTTATAACTAATCCCAAGGCATTATAATCAGACACACACGAAGCATGTGTCCACATGTATGTGCACAGATTCTCACCACTGCACACGCATACTCTGCCCTTTTCCAGGCCCTGTGGGTTGCAGTCACCTCACTCTTTCCCAAGATTTTGGTTCCCCTATTTGCTCAGCTCTCTGAAGGGAAACACGGGTGCTCCCATTTTTCATGTGCCCCTGTGACTCTCTGCAGCTTGTGGATCTTTCCCCCACCACGAGGTCTTACATGGACACCAAAGGTGTGGGTCCTCACTGGTTTCACCCTGGACTGACAGCCCACTGTCCAGATGTGGGCTGCTCATAATGTCCCATGGGCAGGTGGCACTTATCTGGCCTAGGCTGAGGTTACTGTGGCATGGAGTGATGGCTGGCAGGGCCAAACCAGGAGTCAGTCAGTCTTGTCGATTTCAGTGGCGTTTGACAGCACTGATATTGATTCTGTTACTGTGGCAGAGCACAGCTGGGTTGTTTCATGCTAGCTCTGCTGAAGCACTGCCAGCTGGTAGCAGTGGCAATTTTTCTTTTGGGCATCCAGAAATCTGTATGTTTCCCCAAGGAACCATGCTGACCCAAGTGTTTCTGAAGTTACTGTATGTTGCTTCTTGAATAGCTCTCTTAGAGGCTTAGACTGGTGCATGACTGTTAGGAAAGTGATCTCTAACTATATATCTCATGCCCTTTACCAATTGTAGAAGGCGGTAGACCCCTCAGCCTTTATACTGGAAAATTCCCAGAAGAGCTGTTTACAGGATGGAGGCTTTGAATTACAAGCTCTGCATCAAATAGATTACATCTTCCTAGATTTCAGCACAAACCCCAGTCAACTCTGAGTAATAATAGTATTAGAGAAATATATCTGCTTTAAATGCTGCTTGTATAAAAACATTGTAACACTTTATCAGAACAGCTTTCAGAACATTGTCTCAACGCTAGGAAATTCTGGAATTTGCTGATGAGCTATGAAATGGTTCTTTTGCAAATGCATTGCCTGACAGAAAATCAGGTACTTAATAAGCATGCACACAGAGCCATTGTTATCTGGTTGTTTTTATTTTGTTGAGTAGTTTTGGTTTTTTTCCCTCCATGTTGAGCATCTACTAATTTACTATGTATTACTGAAGCCTGTCTTAAAAAAAGAAAAAAAAATATAAATTGGTCTACTCATTTTCACTGATGGTTATTATTACCCTGTTGCAGTGTTTCAAAATACTAAGCTCTGATGAACACTTTGACCAAACATGGCACACTTTTCCTCCCATGCAGTCCATTCTACTCTGCACTTCACCCCACCCTCCTCTTCATCCTAGTCCCACTCTACCGTTACCTGATGCTGAAACTTGCATCACAGAGCACACAGTCCATTCATTTTTCCAAGGGATTAGCACTTGTCAGACACTGCCAAAAATTGCACATAGACACTTTGTTACTCTACTTCTATTATTTATTATAATCTCACCTAATATGAATAATATTATAGTGTTAATTTCTTCAGGCTTCTCATTCCAGATCCAGTCTGCCCAGTGCCCATTAATTCTCTCATCTCCTTAACCTTCTTACTTGATCACCTCTTCTTACTACTGTTTCCCTGCCAGGCTTCTCCTTCTGGGAGATATGGTTTAGTGATGGTGTTGCTTTTTGTTTGTTGTGTGGGTGTCTATTTTTGTCAAAGTTAGGTTGACGGTTGGACAAGATGATCTTTAAGGCCCCTTCCAACCTAAAAGATTTTGTGATTCTGTGATTCTTTGCTCAGACAGAATAATTTCTTCTTGCTTCCTACTCCTCATCAAATCAGTTTCTTTTCTCTGTTTATGCAAACTAAAAGCAACCCAACTCATGTCAGGGCTTCCCCTGGCTGTTTAGTCCATCCTTTTTTTCATTTGTTCACAGTTCTTTATTCACTGTCATTGTCTGTGAGACCTGTGAGTCTTTATGCTTCCCCTCCTCGTGGGTCCATCTGTCTCACAGATGAGTTAATACCAGCCACCCCATCTGACATTCTAATTTCTATTTTACCCTTTCCTCTCTTCTATAATGAGTAACATATTCCTGACCAAATCCTGTCAAATACCGGATATCTTTGTTGTAGCAGAATGATTCAATTCATCACAGAAATTCCTAGAATTTCTTAGCACAGTGAAAGCTTACCTTTCTCTACCTAGTAACTGAATTAATTTTGCTGAAACCTTTCAAAAATTTAGTCCAAGTAAAAACATATTAGGTGAAATTCCACAGAAAATAATGACTTTTTAATTGCATTAAGATTCTATTTTCGTTCTTACATATCACAGTTGAACAACCCTACAAATGGGAGATGCTGTAGACCACTGATAATATAACTAATACATGTTGCTGTATTTATAGGCACTGTAAGTTCCATAACTCCTCTATTGTAGTCTAAAAAGAAACATGAAACTGACAATTATCAAGCAGTAAAAGGAAATTGCTTTACAGAGCCTTAGAAATATCAAGTTTAGTGACTTTTGTTCTTGTTTTGACAGATTTTTAATTTTATCATACGTATTTTGTCTCTTTTAGCATGATATGTGAGGCGTATATCTGTAGTAATGGTAAGAATAAACATAATCAGAAGCAGAGTCTTGAAACAATAATAATAGAAAATAATAAAAATAGTTTAAAAAATTCTTTTATTTGCCTAAAAAATTCATAGTACTATAACTAAACAAGCATATGAACATTTCATTTAATCAACATATAGATATGTGTATGTTAATATTGGTATTGTTCAAATGTGTCCCTACATTGTTCCTCAACAAATATCGTAATTTTAATCTTTCAGAAGACTTCCATTATTGAAAGAGCTAGGTTATTTTAAGAGTTCTCCATGTATAAAATTCAGGTGAAAGTTCTAGAAAAATGAGATAATAAAAACTCCACTCAAAATAATTTATCATTAAAAGTAATATCCATCCAACTCCACTGTAATACTATTATAAGAAAAAGCATTCTCACGAATCTTAGTGCTCTTTGTCTTCTAGCACTCGGTTATATTTCTTTCGACAGATGTTAAATGCAGTGCTGCAGAAGCAAAAGGTAACATATGCCAAATATGTGGCAGGAAAGCAGCAGGAAATAAAACCCCTCTTTGAGATAATCAATTATCAAGAACAGTGCAGTGAAAAGTGCTTGCAGAGAAATGAATCTTTAAAAGAAGTGGGAAAAGTGCATAGATGGTTGGGAAAAGAATGAAAAAGGCAAAAAGAAAACTTAAGCTTTCCAGAAAAAAAGGGGTTAAGAAAGGTTAACCATCTAAAAGTTATTCATGTTGCCTTAAGCTAGTTACCTAGATAGTCAATAGAGATAAGCAACTCCTGAGAAGCCTCTAAAATATGCGAAGGTAAGTCAATCTGTAAGTAGCTAATGCTCTTGGAAGGGGAACTATAAAGGCAATCTTTAAAGAAGGAAAAATTTTGGAGAAAAGAATAGCATATAATGAAATAGAAAGAGACAACAGATGCCTGAAACCTGATAGAGATTGGAACCTTAAGCTACAGCATTTACAAAAAGTCATAGTCCACTTAAATTTTTCCCATTACAAGACTGTTATGCTCCTACTAATGAAAGAGTAAGTTAAAACCGTTCTGAAGACCCCTTACCAGAAGTGTTCATAACAGGGAAAAAACAGCTGTTCTTGATGCAAAGAACTAAAATACTGAGCATTGAACCAAATCTGAAAATAGTCTTATTCTGAGATGCATGTATACATACATATCACGTAGGCACAGGGATGACTTTGAGTGAAATGCTCCTCTCTGGAGAGGCAAGAAGTTCTGTGTGTGAACCAGCCAGAAGGCAGTTCTGAGGCTGGATCTGGGTGTAGCTCCCCTTCACTTTGCGTGTCACAGCTCATTACAGCTAACACATACGCTCTCTATAAACGATATCTGATAAAAACAAGACTTTAAAGTACAAGGGGTGAAAAGTGACTTGGAATAACACATGTGAATATTTATCAAGTCATCAAATTTGAAATCTCTTGATATTGATTGTAAATTGTGTTAAAGGTTATTTTAAAAAGCCATTTCTAATCATCTCAACTGATCAGCCCGATCATTTCATCCCAGTGGAAACCGATGCAGGTAACCAAAGGCAATCTGAACATAGTCAATTTTAGGTTCAATTTCCTAATGTGACAGAAGTTATAACAACTTGTAGCAACTTCAGAAATTAGGAGTGAGGAAGAACTAAGATGGGATGCTTCCTGTTTTAAAGAAGATTTTAGCTCATACTGGCATTATGTTTCTCACCAGTGCATTTTTCTCCTGTGTTCTAAGGGACATGATCCTAGAGAAGACACTTAATTTTAGATGGCTAACATAAGCTAACATCTTAGACCAAGTCCTCTGAAAGAAGCAAGATGTCTAAAACTACTATGAGGTGAAGCTTTTGCAGAATTTAATTTTTCTGTCCCATATTTCCACCACTAACTTTTCTACCCAATGATTTTTACCACTTCCTTTTAAGCTTTGGAAGGTCTGTGTTATATCAGGCTTAGTCCATTAGTGTGAAGACACAAGATAAATCAGCTTTTCTTTATGAAAGTGATGTTCTTTTAAATAGCCTAGCTTTAGACAGCAAAAGTCATTTTCATCAAACGGCTTTGCATTTTGCTAAAGGAGCAGCTTTATCCCAGTCTCATTCTTCAGAAACCGTTCTTCAAATATGGTGTCATAAAACCATCTCGAAGCTTACCTATTGTTTAAAATACCATATCTGGCCTTCAGAAACAGCTAGTTTTAATCATGCCATATTTTTATTCATTTCTAATTGTTCCTCATGTTGTGCTTTCACATAGAACACCAACAGAGAGTCTTAACCTGTTACTGTAACCTATATAATGTTTTTTTTAAAAAAAATAAGCTAAAAATAATGACTTAAAAACAAACAACCAAATAGCTCTCATTACTCCTTATTTTTCACTAACTAATGAAATAAATATTCAGCTCTCTGGAGGAGGGATTTATGTCCCAAAGAATAGCAATAGTTTTAAAGATCTCAATGTTTTGGTTTGTTTTTTTTTTTAATGAAAAATAACCTATTAATTAATGAATGCAGGTGCTTTAAAGTGAAAAATGTGAAACAGATTTTCAAGCTTACAACTGCTCAAATGTTTTCTAAGATTTCAGCTTCCTTTTTATGTAAAACTAAAATCCAGATTTGTCTAACTCTTTTTTCCTTTTTAAAAAAACAGGTTTGCCACTGTATCCTAAGAATAGCTCCTCTTGATCTGGTTTCATCCCTCCTCACTGAAAACTGTCATAGTCACCTTCAAATATAGGCTCTGATGAAAAAAGGCCTTATTGAGAAACAAATCCTATTAAAAATATACTACAAAACTAATTTGATTCACTCTTTAGGGAGAACAGAGAAAGAAGGAAAGCTAATTTTAAAGCTCACCTCAAAGACACAGTACTCTGTAAATAAGAATATGTTTTTTTTCCCTGGTAATTCAAGACTATCACTGTGACCATCCTTCTAAAATACAGCTCTAATTCTATTATTGTGTTTCCTGGTCTACAGTTAAGAAGTGTGATTGTATTCTAAGCAGATGTAAATTGGAATATTTTTTCAGGCTGTATTAAGTTATGATCTGCCTGCCACAGTGACAGTTGATAGCCACTTGTTTCTTAAACTAAATAGACCGGGATCAGCATCCATTTTTTGGTACGTGTATGTTACATCCATCATTGATTTTTCCTTTTCACATGTGGAAATCAACCCCACTAGAAGACAAACTGCTTAAGTTGATGCCTCGGCAAGGACTCTTTGGAAGCTATAGACTACCTGGAGAACAGTCCTTTGGTTGAGATCTGCACTGATACTCCCTTCCCTTATTATTGGCTCTCATGCTTCACGCCCTTCCAGTTTTTTTTTTAATACTCAAAATCAGCTTACTTCCCCCTGCTTCCTCTTTATTTAATCTTCCAGGGGCATCCTCAGTGCTGTGATTGCCCATTTAGCTGACCATCTGTCTCACCTCTAACCATGCTCTTGACTTGGCCCGCTGGGTTGTAGTGCCTGAGTTTTCTACCACACTTTGGCCTGCTTTTAACAACTCGGTCTTTCCTCTTTAGGTTATTCCTTTTCTTCTATATGTGGTTTAGATATGAGTTCAGGTATCAGTTCTTACGGCTGACATGGTCTTCAAAACAAACCCAGTGCAGATTTAACTGCTCAAAAAGACCTGAAGGTCATATATTGAGTATCACTTTCCTTTCAATAACTAGTGTCCCTGTATTCTTGTGTAATATGAACAAGCATTGCATCCTCCCATTTGTAACTCTAGGATTATTCTTGAAGAAATACTGAATATAGCAAAAAAAAAATAAATAATCCTTATGCAGAAGAAAAAAAATGTAGACAATAGTAAAAATTTTTTGCAAATTTTGCTTTACTTTAGTCAGAAAAAATAAACGAACATCAGACACAGTCCTTTGTAGACTAATCTGCAGATTTTCCACTGGTTCACTGGTTTAGGTGACATGAGTAAAGTAACACGTCACAAAGCACACCACCACCAAAACAGTCAGTTAAGGGTCCGCTTATGTCTTTTCACATATTAACATACTGATAATGGAATCAAGGGCTTCAATAACTAAGAATCAGAAGTATAAACTAATCCTAAAAGGATGAAGACTTACATCAAGTTTATAGCTACTTACCTAGCTCCGGAGTGCTATCCAGCCTTGCCATTACACACCCAAATAGGAGAAATAAATTGCATATTATCTCCTACTACCTCATCTAAGCCTCTGAAAATGCAATGAACTAGTATGTTGTATCTGAGAGCTGTTTACATGAGATATTCTTTGTATTGGCAGCTGATTCAGAGGAAAGAAAGCTTTCTTAATCGCTAACTGATTATTATTAGAATAAAATGGAACGCATTTCACAAACGCATTCTCCCTTTCTCTGTATGTTAGAAACAAAAATATAAAACACTGAATTGTTTTCCAGATCACAGAATATAGCTTGGTAACTGATTCAGTGTACTTTAATAGCTGGTTCCTAGCTAACCCTTATATCATACAAAGTGTCAGCCTAGAAATGGCTGCTTGTTTAGAGCTAGTGATTCTTGTCAGACTTAAACAGATTATTTTCCTATTCAGCCACATATTTCAATTAATAAGTCCCATTTCTAAGAGTTATAAATGGAATATGCTTGCTTGCTTGGTTTATTTCTTTCACGTTATTACAGATTTTAAAACTGTAAGTGTTCTCTTTGAATTGGTTTTCTGTGTAACCTGTGCTACATTCATTGCAGAAAATCTGCAGTTACTGCAATCGGCCACAATTTCCTTGGAATTAAAAGGAACTAATCAATCAGAAAACTCATTCTCATATCTATCATAAATAAAGCTGTTTGCATACATTTAAAGTGGATATGCTCCACCTGTTTGTTCAATGAGATGCCCTAGATTTAAGTGGCAATTAAAACTCACGACTCTCGCCTGAACATCAGCTGCCAAGAAATGCCCCACCCAGATGAAATTTTGCTTAATTAACAAAGGAAAAAATGTTCTATGAGTACTTAACACATGGTTACTTTGTACTGAGTGCTTTATATTTCCCTTTTTATGGGAACAAAACCATTCAATTTTATGATTTTCTTCACTTATGAAGCACTCATAAATATGAACTTGATCCTAGAAGATGCTGAGCATCTGGACTAGGTCCAGAAAAGCACTTCAGCGCATCTTTGAGTATGAAACTAATCTAAGGATTTAACTGACAGTTTTCCCAGCTGCCTATGTGCTTTGATGAATCAGTAGGGCTAGGCAGGAAGGATAGGGCTTTGGAAAACAAATTTTCTCTCTGTTCATGTTAGGTACTGCCTGCAGTTCACTGGTAAGTGCTGTCAGGTACAACAACAAATTATGTGAATCCAGGTGTTTCTTGTAATAATTGGGAAATATGACAGAGAATAATGATTGCATGGTGACAAATACACCAGAAGTGCTGATGATTCTGATTTCCTGTGGGTCTAGTCATATTTCATATCCCAGTGCAAAACTATGGCAGTTGCACAGTCTTCACCACATAGCAAGGAAACCTTGCTGACAACTTTGTCTAGGTTAAGAGTAGTTCTGCTGTTTCATAAAGAGTTTCATGAGAATACTTAAGTGCATAATTGAGCAAAAGCTTAAGGATGCCCGTCCATTGAGAGATGGATACACCTTTTTGCCAGTGCAGCATTTGACCCACATGATCCACAGTCCATCAAAGCTAATGACAGTGGTAGGCTTCAATCAGGAACAAGAATACGTTTCACTGGCCGAGACCAAGTCAAGCTAACGCAATGTTATTTCTCCAATAACAGCTAACAATAACAGAACCTAAACAGCTGTCTAGGGAATATTAGGAAGAGGGCAAACATTTATAACCATGCCCCTGCTATATCTTCTGAACCTTGAACTACTTCCATCTGAAAGGATTCCTCAGCCCAAAAATGGCAGGTCAATTTAGCAACCCACAGTGGCTTACCCTTTCAATCTTTTCCAGTTTCCCTGAGCCCCTCTAAACTTCTTAAATCCAGAACTTTAGCAAAAATCTATTGCAAGAAAAGACATCTTTTCCTCTTTTAAACCTGGCTCCTACTGACTAGCAATTTTATGAGTCTCTCTGATTCTTTTAAGTGTCATCCTGGCAGAGTTGAGAAGTTTTTATGTATATCCACCCTCTTCATGCCAAAAATCTCATTATCTTGAAGATGTCTTTCATAATCTCCTTATGTTCTCTATTTGCAGGCTGTTCATATAGCTTTTGATCACCCTGTTCTCATCCCAATCCACTCTTTCTTTTTTGGAGGAGGAGGCAATAAGGCTTTCCATGGTGAGTGTTTCAGTTGACTAGTTTTCTAAAGAGCTCGTTCATTTGAATTGCCACACTTTGTCCTAATTATATGTGATAATTAATTTTTAGTGACTGATAATGTCAAAGCTTTACACTAAATCCTATCTGTCCTAAAAGCTTGAATCTCTCATCTTCCCTCACCTAGTTGCTTTCATAGAACTGTTGCATTAATTGCACTGCATAGTAACTAATCTATTTAATATATACTGAAAAAATTTCTTTAGAGTTGGGTCAGATTCATAACAGAAACAAATGTTTCCTTTTTTGTCATATTCATGACTTAAAAAAAAAATGGTTTGAAAATGGAAAGATGAGAACTAAAATATAAATAGGATTATCTGTCTCAGGAACCCAAATACAAACAAGAGTTATTGCAAGATGGAAAGGAGAAGGCTGCTCTAGTCTGAATTTTAAGCAAGATGAGTGAGCAAGTGTAAAATGCTTAGAGTTCTAGCCCATGAGCCTAAATTCAATGCTTTTCAGGTCAAACCTGCATTGTGACCATTTTGGCCAAAAAGCAAAAGTATATTTCTAGTCCATTCATGAAGCATTTTGCCTAGGGGGGAAATAAATCTTTCTCATGAAAAAAGATATTGTAGTGAACTATTTCTATTATATTAGTATTAAACTTCAACAGATGGTATGCTTTGGAAGAACATGGATTAATTTGATTATTTGCTGTGAATGCTTTTGTTAAAGTAAAACAAAAGTGCAAAGAATATCATTGCTGTCATCCATCTGGTCAAAGCTAAATTTATGTCAAACTAGGGATTTAAGAATAATTGATTCATATTTAAACTGGTTAGAATCTTATTAGGAACTAACATTTGTAAAAGTAAAATGTTTTAATTTTTCAGTTCTTCTAAAATGACACTTCAGGTCACAAAACAGCACAAATCAAAACTGTTAAAAATTATATAGGATATATTGACTTTTGTACCCTCCCCCAACAGAATTAATATAAGTAGCGTGTACAAATAACTACCACTGTGCAGATGAAGTACTGTGGTACTTACAAGAACAAAGACTAAAACTACCCTATTAACCCCTACAGTTCTTTAACTTAACCCTTAATTAAGCTTGTATTCCAGGCTATTTTTTCTTATCTACAAGAAAATGAAGCAAAAGTTGTTCACTCCTAGTAGCACAAACCCTAACCTTAGGGGTTGGTTAAAGAATGTTATCCTACCTCACAAGCAGGTAGCCTATGGGGTATAGCTACCATCACGATACGGCTGAACCATTGCTATAGCTGTGAGTTAGTACTGCAGGAACTGACAGATTCTGTTTAGTGATGGGTTCTACCAGGTTTGAATTTCTGGGATAAGATCTGCAGGACTGAATGAAACTCACTGCTTCTTAGGACAAAAAATTAAAATATTTAGAATATAGTTAATGTTCTGAAATTAAAACTAAAATTGTAAATAAGGTATCTAATAAGTTATCTAGAACACATTGACTCTGTTATACTTACTTCCCCTGCTTCATCTATCTTTAGCGTTTCCACCATTTACTTTGGGTCTGATGTCTCTGTCCTCTGTTCTCTCCTCATACAGAGCACACCCAGTCATACGTCACTGTCACTCTTGCATCACAGGCTGAATGATGATGTCTGCAATGATTTCAAAGTTGGAGGGAATGATCTCTCATTGCCTGTTTTGCAATTGAATGTGAAAGACGTGGGGTGGAAAATTTTGATGAAGTAAGTAATCAGATTTATGTGTAACTTGAAACTGTGATTAGAATATGATAAATAGATAAAAAAGTAGTACTGAATGAGAACATGGGCATGTAATATTTCTCTGTTGGTAAAGCTGGCTCACCAAGTCCTTTACTTTGATCCAAGCTACCCATTCTTTCCATTGTGGCCCAAGTCTGGAGGACATATATCACAACTATAGTAATATAACTGCTTGTAAAGTCAACATCAAAACATTTTGAGTTTCTGTCTATGGGTTTTATAACCCCGATCATGATAGTCATTCAGTTCAGAGTATTTTATCAGGACAAGTCACAGTACTACAAGTGCTGCACAGGAGTGGGTACAAGTGGCAAAACGTAGATGCATCTTAGTTTATCTCACCATGAAAAAGTAAGTGCACAGTGACAACCAGGAAGGAGAAGACCACTGAATTTCAGCTACTCTCAACTGAATTTTATATACAAAAAGGTTATTATTGCATACCCATAATCAATAAAAAATATTTTAACTAACAGTTTGCCTAAAGTTAAGCAGTATTCTTCTCATATGCTGTACTACTATTGCTTTTCAGTTTTTACACTTCAACATCTCTGTCATTCTCTTCACCATCTTCCATCTATTCTTCGCTTTTAGTGTCTTCACCATTTGCAGGTTTTTCTTTGTATTCATCTCTCATCCTCTGTCCCATTCATGGAATGTAAAATATAGTCTTTCTTAAAAACATTAGCTACAAGTTCTGGAATTATTTGGTGGTGTCTTTGGTGGTCTCTTAAAATGACAGAGCTGTTTTGCACCACTATGTTTTTTTCCAGTAGAAGCTAGAGCATGATCCCTGCCGATAGTCATTCTGAGTATGAAGATTTCAAGTGGTCTTTAAAGGGCACATTCACTACTACACAAAGAGTTTTGATGTCACTCCTCTTGATATAACCCCAAGATCAATATTCATTTTCTTGGCAAAATTCTTCACAGCAAGCGATAGGTGACCTTCGAATGCATCTAGGACAAGGATTTTCTTAACAGCACACCCGGTCTCCTGATCCAAATGATGTTCAGCCAGTCCTTCATTAAATCTGTAGACATCCATCCTTGGTTTTGACACCTTACAATTATTCCAGTCGGCAGCTATTCCTTCGGCATTGCTTTCTGCTTCCATATCACACGTGGTAGCAATATTATACCATCTGTTAACACTACTAACATGACTATATCATGCATGTTTTCATACATTAAGGCTTTGATGGTGGCAGATTTTGTACCTATTTTTTCAATGCTACGATGGATGGCAGGTCAAAGTAAACCAGTTGTCTTGTTTGGCTCAGCAGATAATGAAGTAAAGGGTCAGATCTAGGCAAATTCTGAAGTTCTTTGCCAAAGAATATGGCAAAAAATATTATGTTGTATCATTTGAACACAACCCCCCTCACTGGTTTTGAATTCTTGCTGAGAAAAATTTTGTACTTGTGCTAGTTCTTAATCTTTCTGTTTAATCACTTTCCGTGTATCTTGTTTCCATTTCTTCTTTGACTTTGCACAAATTATATGACTTTGTTCTCCCTCTCCACGGCAGTATCTTCTTCTGGGTCCAATTAGGCATCAATTTAGTTCATAAAAGCTTCTATTTTGTTTTTTTCAATATTCTCACGTTTTCTTTTGCCATTATATTTCTTCTAAGCCTCACAGCTGTTAATTGTTTCTGCACCTAATACCACCATTAGTTGAAAAATTGCATCATACCCTCTTCCTATACCTTTTAGTACATTTCCTTTTGCGCTCGTACCTCTCATTTCCAGACCAGCTGCCATTTCACAATTCAATTATGAGATTCGGGGAGATTCATAAAACCACCAGAAATGCCAGCAGGATTCTCTGAGCTACAGCAGGTCACACAGCCGTAACAGCGAGAGGGTGACGAAAGCAGCAGTAATCATGGACTCTCTCTATGCCATCTTAGTCCCTCTGGGCATATTTGTGTTTCTTTATTACTGTGCGACCTCCCACACTGCACAGTCATCATGCACTTTAACCTGAAAGGAAGGTGAACCAGAATTTAAGTCAGTCCCTGATTTTTAATTTAAACTACTTGGAAATAAAACCTCGTCTTCTACTAGGTACATATGGTATATATTAAGCCAAGGCATCATTAGAGTCTTGATAGGATAAAGAAAATCAAACATGAAGACTTAAATTATTAAAGACCTTCTATAGTCCAGATCCTGAAGGTTGAATGAAAGGTTACCTAAATATGTGTAGTGCCAGAAAAAGAAAAAAAAAGAAAAAAAAAGAAAAAAGAAAAACGTAAGCCCCACCTTTGAGGTCCTTAGAAAGGAGAGAAGTTGTAAATTAACTGGGAACTGAAGAGATACATTAGAGCTACAGCATGTGCTGAAGTCCTTAGGTATCTTCCAAAGGTAGTATCATTTATTTGAATCACCATATAAGTGAATAACAGTTCTAGCTACACCAGCTATTTAAACAGCATAAAGGAGGTTGAACTAAAGGTCCTGTCTTGTGTACATTCTGCAAAGTTTTATTCATCTGCTTTTACTGAAAGTCAGCAAAAGTGAGTGATAAGGAAAAGAAGGTGGCATATATATTTTGTGCAAGTTTCAAGCAAATGGATACATGAAATATTTTGTGATAAGATTGGAAGCTATAACAGAAGTGAAGGGTTCTTAGCAAATCAAAGCAAGAGGTTTCCATAAGGTATTTTGTTTCTGAGCGTAATAAGCAAATCTTATATTTTAAACTAGAGTTGATGATTTGCCTCTCTCCAGATGTCTCCTTCAATCAGAGGTGCCTTATCTGATGATTAGATTTATAGTGAGACTTTTATTGTCTCTTATGGTAGATCATTCACATCTTTCACAGAGACATATGTTGCTCCTAAAAGACTACTGGAATTTGATCCCCTCTTGCGATAGATCAAAGATACAATAACCTGCATATTTGCTCATTTAAATGAATACAACACTTCAGTATCTTTCTGGCCCTTGTATACACAGAAAATACTCATTATCCTCATTAAGAATTCAACCTTATTGCATAAAATATATAGCTCTGTCTCTTACATGGTATAATACTTATTTGAATTTGAACTTGCGGTCTATTCTTCATACCAATATGTTATAGACAGACTTCGGAGATTTCCCTTTTTCTTTTGTCCTTCCAAAGAAAAAGAAGACATAGAAAAAGACAAGTAAGTAAAAAGAACTTACTGGACATTAATAACAGCATGAAGTATAAAGCTCTATCGGGTCTGCTGGTTGTTAGTTCTCTATTTATAGACTTGATGTCAGAGGTATAGTCCTCTCTTTTGAATAATTTTTAATAGCATAGACTTTGACAGAATGAGCTGTCAAAAAAGAAAATGTTTCACTGTTTTGGAAAGACAGAGCTCAGCTTTGGTTTGTCCTTTTTAAAGCTTCTGCCTTCTTTCTTTCTTTTTTTTTTTTTTTTTTTTAAGGTGAGAAAGTGTCATCGATGGCAGCTAATACCTAATGTGTCAAGGTTGCCAAGTAACAGGCTAGAGATGTGTCAGTGAAGGCTGTTTCTATGAGAGGAATTCAGTAGGGTAGTTTCAAGTACTTGGAAATAAACTCACCCCTGTGTCTGTCTCTCTTTTTTTGTAAATGAAAAAAACCCACACTTGTGCTCTAACTAATGATAATTAATGTAGTCAAACAAAGGATACAGTACATGCTTAAGAAACGGGTCTAAAATGGGTAGCTGTGCCAGTAGTTTGTGTTGCTTCTAAATTTTAAAAATAGTGGAATAATTAACGTAACATACTGTTGCCATTTCCAGAAATAAATGCATGATCGAAAAATGACATGAACGTATCATAATTTCGTGTGAAGTTACATGAATTAAAGAGGTGCTATAAGCAAAGTGTGAGCTTAATTGCTGAATCAATTTTAAAAGAGCAGAATTTGATTGGATAGAATAACAAGGTGTTAAGAAATTGCCAGTGTGAATTTATTAGGAAGAAATCAAGTCAAACTAGTATAATGTTTTTTCTTTTTTCCTTTTCACAGTCTTAGAACTGACTTGGTCAACAGTGGGGAAAGCTGGACATGTGATACCTTACCAACAACTACTTTTTTAGACACTGACTTCATTGATTCATGACTTACCCTCAGGCTGCTTAGGTGAGTTTTGCAGTGGTCTGTACTGGACAAGAGAGTGGTCAATATCTCCATTAGAGCTTTTCATTATGGAACATAGTGTTTCCTTATAAAATCCAATGGGAATGTTTGCAAGCACTTTGGAGGACAGGATTAGAATTCACAATGTTCTTGAAAGACTGGAGAAACAGACTGAAATCAATAAGATAAAATTCAATAAGGACTAAAGACAAGTATAAAGTACTACATGCAGGAAAGTAGAATCAAATCTCTCCCAAACAAAATTAATTCAGTACAGAATTAAAGAATTAAATCATAAAATAAGGCGGAAGGTCCATTCAGAGGACCATTTGCTTGCTTTGCATTAATCTGTACTGTGATTTATGATGAGCGGTCTTTCTGATTAAGGACGTTCCAATGAAAGGCAAAGTACTTTAGGCTGAACTTTTTGCTAACAGCTTTGTAACTATCAAGACCGACCACAAGTCTGGTCAATAAGGCCAGGACAGTTTTGGATCCATCCAAGCTTGAACTGCATGGAGAGACCTTAAATTGGATCATTCTAATGAGTGTGCCAGAGTCAACAACCTACAATTTATGTATGAAGCAGGTAAATTAGGCAACCTGGATCTGTGCTGTGTATCTGGCCAAGAATGTGCTCTGTATACAGAGATGACATTCAGAGTAGCGCAGGTCTAAATTTTCATGAGATTTAAATTTATGTCAAGCTACATTTGGATTTACTCATAGTTTTCCTAGGCTTTACCAAAAAAAGTGTTGTCTGCCATCTGAAACATAGACTAGAGTATCTATTTTGGAAGGCAGGTTACAAGTTTCTTTCAATGCATTGTGATTATGCATATCTCCCTACTGTAAAACGTATCACCAAGGGAATAGGACAAAAGGGCAAAACCAGAAATAACATCCACAAAATTTTAACAGAAAACTAGTAAATTTAATGCATGCTATCCTTGAAAGAGGCTGCCTACCTCTAACATCCCTTAATTATTGTTTTTCTTCCTTTCTCTGTCAGAAAGAATGAGAATGACTATGGTTGAACATCTCATAGCTTGGTTTGCACTTTCTATTTGTCTGTAGGTTATGTACATTCAAGTCTCAATTTGCCAAACAGAGAAATTATATTCTTGAATTTTCCATGGTTTAGAGTGTTTCCATTGTTTGAGCTTTGAGTAGTGGACTTTTCTTCATCATTATACTTCCTTCTCTCTGTTTTTAATATGCATATGTGCAAAGGATAGCTGTAGTAATTGGTTGGACCAGATGATCTTTAAGGTCCCTTCCAACCTAGAAGATTCTGTAATAATAATAAAATAAAAAAAAAAGCACAAAAAAATCAACCTGGAAACCTCAGTAAGTTTGCATACCTTTTTTTCTGATAAATCATTTCTCAGTATTGAGGGAGAGGAGGAGGCAAATATGAACTTTTATTTATGTCTTCTGCTCACCTATGCTCACTGAAGTGATCTAGAGCAGGTACAGTACTAGCCATATGCAAAGTAAATAACTGCCTCAGTTGACAGCATTTGTTTTGCCTGCCCTAGAGCAGGTGGGAGTTAGTTCCTTTAGCAGTGAGTGTAATCCAAGTAATTGCTTGTTTACTCTTCCTTGCAGGTGTCTCTGTTGCTGTTGATGTTCCTGATGGACTCACAAGGCTTGCAGTAAGTGGCAGAGCCAAACTCCTGTGTATTCTTCCACTGTCTCATCTTCAAACTCTAGCTCCCCTGAGCTCCCAGCCCCTCATCCTAGTTTCTTTCAGTCTCCACTGTCCTTACCTAATACCCATTGCAAACATCAGGAAACACACAGAAAATAACTCTTTACACTCCCTTTTTCCTATCTGCAGCCCAAATAAAGCCTTACTAACTTCTTCTACTGCCGCACAACTCATCTCACAAAAACTGCTTTGAAATTCTTACTGACTAAATGGGCAGTCTTGGTTTTCTACTTCCCCCATTATAATCAGACTAATGGCATATGTGGCGTTGACCATAGTCAACAGATAAACCCACAGCCACCCGCTCGCTCACTCCCTCCACAGCTGAATGGGGGAAAGAATCAGAAGGACAAAAGTGAGAAAAACTCATGGGTCAAGATAAAGACAAGTGAATAAGCGAAACAAAGCTGTGTGCACAAACAGAGCAAATTAAGGCATTTATTGACTGTTTGGTTTTGGCTGGCAGATGTCCAGCCAATTCCTGAGAAGCGGGATCTCAATGTGTGTAATGGATGCTTAGGGAGGATGAAAGCTATAACCACAAACGTTCTCCCTCTTCCTCCTTTCCTTAAGCTTTTGTGGCTGAGCACACATCCCTTTAGCCTGCATGGGTCAGCTCTCCTGCTCATGTCCACTGCCAGCTTCTTTCGCACTTCCAAACTAGTGCCTTTGAGGGAGGTAGAGTGAAAAAAAGAAAAGGCCTTGATGCTGTGCAAGCACTGCTCAGAAATAGCTAAAGCATGGTCGTGTTACAAACACTGCTTTAATCACAAATTCAAAACACAGCATCATACAAGCTGCCATGAAGAAAATAACTGCATTCCAGCCAAATGCAGTACCTGGCAAAATTCAATGTTATCAGCCGGCTGAATATGAGCCAGCAGTGTGCCCAGGTGGCCAAGGCCCACAGAATCCTGGCTTGTACCAGGCACAGGGTGTCCAGCAGGACTAGGGAAGTGATTATCACCCTGTACTCAGCAGTGGTGAGGTCACACCTCAAATACTGTGTTCAGTTTTGGGTCTCTCACTACGAGAAAGACATTGAGGTGCTGAAGCATGTCCAGAGAAGGGGAAAGCTGGTGAGGGGTCTCGAGCACAAGCCTTATGAAGGGCATCTGAGGGAACCTAGAGAAAAAGAGGCTGAGGGGAGACCTTATCACTCTCTACAACTACCTGAAAGGAGGTTGTAGTGAGGTCTCTTCTCCCAAGTAACAAATGATACGACAAGAGGAGATGGCCTCAATTTGCCCCAGGGGAAGTTTAGGATGGATTTTAGGAAAAATTTCTTCATTTAATGTGTTATTGAGCATTGGAACAGGCTGGCCAAGGAAGTGGTAGAATCATCATCCTTGAAGGTATCTATATGTGGAGGTGGTGCTTAGGGTCGTGGTTTAGAGGTGGTTTTGTCTGTTGGACTGGTGGTTGGACTCAATGATCTTAAAGATCTCTTCCAACCTAGATGATTCTATGATTCTGTGTTGCTAGAAAGTATGGAGTGACCTCTGTCTTGAAGTCTGAAAGTTCAGAATGAAAGTTCACAGCAGCTCAAAACAAAGCTGTGGAAAATTTAGGATTATAGTAAGAGAACTGATACTTCTGCATTACCAATACTTCACTTATTGCTGACTTTATCCACTTCAATGTAACTCTTGCTAATTTCTATATTCTTCTAAATGATAGTATCTAAATTTTAACATATAATTACAAAAGAGAATATATGTATGCAAAGCACATTATTAACAGTGAAAATAAATATTAGGCTAATATATGAAGGAAACTGCTGGTTTGATTTCTCAATTTAGCTCCAAAAACTGACAGCATATATCTGTCAGCCAACAAAACCATGGTGGAAGTCAGTTGATGTACTATTCCACTCTATTTCCATAGATAGAACATGCAAATTGTATGTACTGAACAGTATCTTCAAAATAATGACAAATAGTAACTACTGCCATCTTTTTCAAATATTCAAAGATACATTACAATATTTTAACAGCTCTTTGTGAAAATAAAACACCACCGATGTTTCAAATGGCAGTCACACACTCGACAACTACTTACTATGCTTTCATTCCAATTTCCTTTGAAATTTACAGGAATATCGTACCATTGAGTAAAGAATGGCAATTTCTTATTACTTTAGCTAATGCTAAAATGAAGTTTTTCTCAATTCTCATTGCTGATCATTCTCCATTAAGGAAAACAGAATATAAAAAGTAGAGGCAGCACTTTGCTGGGGAGCATGTAACGTCTTCTCTTATTCACAGTGCAAATTGGATTCACCCCGCACTGCAGCGGTGTGAACAGAGATCATTGACTAGGGAAGTGATTATCACCCTGTACTCAGCAGTGGTGAGGTCACACCTCAAATACTGTGTTCAGTTTTGGGTCTCTCACTACGAGAAAGACATTGAGGTGCTGAAGCATGTCCAGAGAAGGGGAAAGCTGGTGAGGGGTCTCGAGCACAAGCCTTATGAAGGGCATCTGAGGGAACCTAGAGAAAAAGAGGCTGAGGGGAGACCTTATCACTCTCTACAACTACCTGAAAGGAGGTTGTAGTGAGGTCTCTTCTCCCAAGTAACAAATGATACGACAAGAGGAGATGGCCTCAATTTGCCCCAGGGGAAGTTTAGGATGGATTTTAGGAAAAATTTCTTCATTTAATGTGTTATTGAGCATTGGAACAGGCTGGCCAAGGAAGTGGTAGAATCATCATCCTTGAAGGTATCTATATGTGGAGGTGGTGCTTAGGGTCGTGGTTTAGAGGTGGTTTTGTCTGTTGGACTGGTGGTTGGACTCAATGATCTTAAAGATCTCTTCCAACCTAGATGATTCTATGATTCTGTGTTGCTAGAAAGTATGGAGTGACCTCTGTCTTGAAGTCTGAAAGTTCAGAATGAAAGTTCACAGCAGCTCAAAACAAAGCTGTGGAAAATTTAGGATTATAGTAAGAGAACTGATACTTCTGCATTACCAATACTTCACTTATTGCTGACTTTATCCACTTCAATGTAACTCTTGCTAATTTCTATATTCTTCTAAATGATAGTATCTAAATTTTAACATATAATTACAAAAGAGAATATATGTATGCAAAGCACATTATTAACAGTGAAAATAAATATTAGGCTAATATATGAAGGAAACTGCTGGTTTGATTTCTCAATTTAGCTCCAAAAACTGACAGCATATATCTGTCAGCCAACAAAACCATGGTGGAAGTCAGTTGATGTACTATTCCACTCTATTTCCATAGATAGAACATGCAAATTGTATGTACTGAACAGTATCTTCAAAATAATGACAAATAGTAACTACTGCCATCTTTTTCAAATATTCAAAGATACATTACAATATTTTAACAGCTCTTTGTGAAAATAAAACACCACCGATGTTTCAAATGGCAGTCACACACTCGACAACTACTTACTATGCTTTCATTCCAATTTCCTTTGAA